CGCGGCCGTCAACTGCTCGCGGCCCGCCCACGCGCCGACGCCGTCGCCGTCGCCGTCGACGGGGCGCCCGAGCCGCGCGAAGATGGCGTCGCTCTCGTCCTCGAGGGCGCGCCGCTCGCGCTCCGCGTCGCCGGCCGCCTGGGCCGCGAGACCGACGCCGTGGAGCGCCGCGCGGAGCTCGTCGCTCGACGTCGCCTCTTTTAGGGCGGCTTTGGCTTGCGCGGCGCACCGGTCGAGGCGCCGCGCGACGACGCCGCCGAGCTCGCGCCGCGACGCGCCGAGGCGCAGCACCTCGTCCCAGCAGCCGCCTTTCGAAGCCGGCGGACTCGGCGGGGTCCGCCGGCCGTTGAGGCGCGTCGGCGGCATGGACAGGGTCGGCGGTTCGCCCATGACGTCGGCGAGGAAGGCGTGCTCCGACGCCTCCTCCGCCATGATCTCGGAGAGGAGGTCGTCCTCTTCCAGGCGCATGGTGTTGCGGCGCTCAGATGGAGGTGTTCCTGGCGTCTCGCGATCGCTCAAGGCCCACCGCGCGCGCAGGCCATCGTCAAGCGCTTCAATTCTGGCTGAAACGTTGCTGTGCACTTGAACGTACGTCACGGCGACGAGTTAGCGATGGCCCGGAGCGCGGGGAATTTCTCGCTGCAGGTGGGGAAGCCCGTCCTCAGGACCGCGCGCGCGAGGGCGCGGTTGCCCGTGCGATTGTACGATTGCGCCTGGAAGGGCTGCTTCACGGAGAACTTCGTGTGCGGCGCGCGGCAAACGCTAAACGTGGTCCCGAACGTCGCGTTCAAATCCTCGCTGATCACGTCGAGGAACGTTTCGTAGCTCTGCGCGATGCTGAACGACAGGTCCGCCCTCGCGCTCGCGTCGCCGTCGAGGAAGCCGCCGAACGTCTTCGCGAGCTGATCGCGGTCGACGCGGCCCTGCGCGTCGAGGTACGGACGCCACGCGCGCAGCTCAGCATGGGTCTGCTGGCCAGCCTCCGTCTTCACCTTCGCGCAGGCTTCCGCGAGTTTGACACGCGCGCCGACCCATGAGTCGATTTCTTCTTTTGAAGATCGGCTACCGCGGAACAGGCCCGCTTCGTCGACGGCACGGAGTATCAGCGTGAACTCCTGCTTGGGCCACATGTAGGGCGCTATGAGGCGGAT